GCCCAGGGCTGGGGCGGCAGGGGCTGCGGTTGGGGGGAGAGCCCAGGGCTGGGGCAGCGCCCAGGGCTGGGGCAGCAGGGGAGTGCAGGTGGGGGCCAGAGCTGGGGCAGCATGGGGTATGGGCGGGAGACGGGGGGGGTCGGCAAAAAACCTAGAGCTGGCTCTGTTCCTACCATTCACAGCAAGCTGCAGATTTCAGTTCCATACTCCTTTCCCACACCTTTTCCTGTTGCTAGTGGCCAAGGGAATGCTGGGAAATGTAGTTCTTTCCCTGCTCCAGGGCTGGCTCTATAGGCAGGGAGCTAACCAAGGAACTACAGCTCCCAGGGCTCCCTGTTGGTTCTCAGCTCCCATGCTGAATTCTTGCGCCCCTTGCAAATCTGCTGCCCCAAGCAACTGCTTGCTTTACTGGTGCCTAGAGCCGGCCCTGTCAACAATACGTATACCAGGCACTGGCAGTTCCAAAACCCTGTTGTTTAATTCCAATCACAAGCAAATCACAGCAATGTTGGTAGCAACAGAAAGAAATTTTAAGAAAAAAAGGTCAAAAACATGTGACTAAAGCATACCATTATCAACACAATGATGGTTCCAGCTATCACACTTAGTAGATTAATTGTATACCTGTACATATTTAGTCCAGCGCATTCCTAGTGGCAAATGGAAAAATAATGGCGTAATGCTGGGGTGACTAACACAGGGATTTTAAGGGGAGAAAAGGTTAAACTAGCAAAATATAAGAGAGATATTATACCTGTGCTGTGTATTGTACATATGCCCTACAGACACAACCATCCCTATGAAGGGAAAAACTAGGACTTTCTAGAAAGTAGTAAATTATTTTTTTCCTTAAGAATTTAGCTCAGATGTTGTTTTTAACTCTTATTGTTTCTTGAGGATGGGAAGCTAAAAAACACTTAAGAAATTGGTTAATGCAACATCAACAGTCTATCATAATCTTACCTTTTCACTCCATGCCCAAAGCCCGGCTGCAAGGAAAGCAACTCCAGCTAGCTACAGAAAAGAATAAAGAAAATTTGATTAGTACCCTAATCAGGAACGAAAACAAGACTTCCCAATGTGAAATAATATGCTTCCCTCACCCTCCTTTGAAATAATCACCATAAATACATATAATAAAGTAAATAGGAGAATGTATTTATGAGTCTCTGTATGTGTATAGGCTTACATAGAACAGCAATCCTCTTCTCAGAAAAAAATTGTTATAGCATAACATAAAAATAATCTGATAGAAGAGAATTAAGTTTACATTTCCTGTAGGAACAGAAAGGCTTGTTAGGACTCTAAAGTTCTGTATAAGTGTGTTCCCCTCATGTGAGGTCAACCATTGTATCCATACTGAAGAAACAAAAACATAGGACAAAGACTCACAATGATTGAGGGACACAGGAAAAAGTCTTGATTTCAGGAAGCATCACCTACAGTTTTCATTAATGTTAAGCAAATTTAGTACTGGCAAAGGATATCTGCTCTATAGCGCAACTAGAGAATGAGATTCTCTGACTAGCCACATGGCTCGGCAGTGGCAGTGCACGTTCCCTCTTTGCCATTCCACATGTGTGCCTTAAACTTGTCCTGGGGGAAAACATCTCTCAGAGATGTGCTGAATCCACTCAGTTCTCTGTGAATACCTCTGAAGAGGCTCTAAGCACGTCACAGGATCAGGCCTGACCATCAGCTGTGGCTAGTGCTAGGTACTCTAATGATGAATGGATCTGAGACATCTCATCCCCAGACTCTTGGACTTGTGATTCTGGAATGTTGATACAAAGAGTTTGCAACAATAAAAGGCAGAGAGCAACAGATGTGCTTGAAAATAATGTACATTGGGTTTAAGGCCCAGATATTGAAATACTTACGCATATAAATAATCCCATTAATTTCAAGGGGAATACTCATTTGAATAAAGAAAAGGATGTAAATAAATGTTTGCAAGATCAGGGCCTAAAATAATAATTATAGCGTTTTCCTCTTTAAATCTCAGAGTACTTTGAGATGGTTAGCATCGTATCCCCATTTTGCAGCAGAGAAACTAAATCTAATGACCTCTTCCTAGCCAATGCTCAGAACCAGTACTCCATCCTCATCCTCCTTGATGACAGTTGACCATGCTCTCCTTCTTTAAATCTTGCTCTCCCTTGGGTTCCGTGACTCTGTACTATGCTAGTTCTCCTGCCTCTCTAATCCCTTCTTTAGCATGTCCTTGGAGGATACTCCTTCTCGCCCAGCTTTCTGCAGGGGTTATAGATGGCTTTGGTCCGTCTCTCCCTCTCCCCCTCAGTAATCTCATCTGCACAACACAAATTCAACTACCATCTCCACATGCTGACGATGTGCAGATCTACCTCTCTACTCCAGGCTTGTCTCTTTCTGTCCAAACCAAAATCTCAGAGCCTCTCACTCTCTCCCCGACATCTTCTTGTGGATGATCAATTCAAGCCTTCCCAGGTCCTCTCGCAGTTACAGTGGACACCACCAAAACACAGGCATGTAACCTCGACATCATCTTTGACTCAAACCTCTTTCTACGTTGTCATATCCAGGCTATACATGCCCCTTCTCCTGTTCACTTGTCTGGTATGAGGTTGTTCAAGATAGGGGAAGCCTGTCTTGTGACTTTTTACACAACTTTTGGAAACTGGACCTTAGGCTCCTTTGTGCTCTGTATTGTGTGTCAGTGTGTGTTCACCCACTCAGACAAGCCACCAGGAACAAGGCTTTATTCTGTAAAGAACATAGAACAGGATTACAGTTCAGCAGCTCCTCTCTGCTTGCTTGCTATGTGCTCCCAGTTCAGTCAGTGCTGAGACCTCCTGCTGGGGGAACAGAGGGTATATCCTGGCAGGAACCAGGATGTTCTCCCAACATGCTGCAGTTTGTGGTCCACAACTTGTAGTTCCCAGGGCTGCTGTTGAAGCACACTGGACCTTGGGCTACATAGATCTAAGTCTTGTGGGTTATGCCAAAATAATCTCTCTAAAATACCACCTTTCCTATCCATCAATGCAGCTAAAATGCTCACCCAGGCTCTTATCTTGCATCTCAAATACTGCAACGTCCTTCTCTCTGGCCTTGACAAATACATTCTTGCTCCACTTATACCCATTCACAATGCTGACTTAAAAAAAAAAAAAAAAATACACTCGTAGCCCTTTGATTTGACCACATCACCTCCCCCTTTGCATCCCTCCACTAGCTTCTGCCTCTACCGCACCAAAAACATAAACTGCTTATTGTCACTCTCAAGGCCCTTTACAGCCTATCCCCACCCTAGCCATCATGTCTCATTCAGTGTCAAATTCCACGCCTGTTAGGTCAATAAGTGTAGCCTCCATTGTGCAATTATTGTATTTTCAAACAAGCACCTTCATGCCTTCCTCCCATGCTCCTCCCTTCACGTTTGGGAGGAGATCCCCATAAACATCCACAAACCTACCTGATTATCCTCCTTCAAATTCATCATTTGCTGTCATGCCTACAAAAAAACTTGACTACAATTAGGCAGTGGTCTCAGCACACCAGCAGCCTGTCACGCTGACCAATATGGTCTCATTGTTTCCTTGTATTCCCTCAGTCTGTCTGTAAGTATCCATATTAGATTATAAACTCTGGGGCAGGGATCTTTTTATTCTGGTTCTTATGGCATCTAGTGCACTACTAGCCTCAATCATAGACCAGAACCCCATGAATTACAGTAGGGTTGCCAACTTTCCGATTGCAGAAAACTGAACACCCTTGCCCCCTGCCCCACCCCATCCTGATGCCCCACCCCTAAGGCCCCGCCCCCTGTTCACTCCATTCCCCCCCTCCTTCTCTTGCTCGTTCTCCCCCACCCTCGCTCACTCACTCAATTTCACTGGGATGGGCAAGGGTTGGGGTGCAGGAGAGGTGAGGGCTCTGGCTGGGGTTGCAGGCTCCAGGGTGGGGCCTGCAATGAGGGGTTTGGAGTGGGTGGGGGTGCTCTGTGCTGGGGCAGAGGGTTGGAGTGCGGGGGAGCGAGGGCTCCGGCTAGGGGTGCAGGCTCTGGTGTGGGGCCGGGGATAAGGGGTTTGGGATACAGGAGGGGACTCTAGGCTGGGGGGTTCAGAGTGCAAGAGAGAGTGCAGGTTCTGAGAGGGAGTTTGGGTGCAGGAGGGGGCTCAGGACTGGGGCACGGGAGGGGCTGCAGGCTCTGGGCGGTGCTTACCTCAAGTGGCTCCCAGAAGCGGATGGCATTTCCCTCCAGCTCCTAGGCAGAGGCACAGGCAGGCGGCTCTGCATGCTGCCCCCAGCCGCACATGCCACCCCTGCAGCTCCCATTGGCCACTGTTCCCGCCATGCTGTTCAAGCCAGCACGAGAAGCCCCCATGGCCATGCCTTTGCCTAGGAGCTGGAGGAAAATGTCAGCCACTTCCAGGAGCCACGCGGAGCCAGGGAGCCTGCCTTCGCCCTGCTACACTACCGACCGAACTTTTAACAGCCCACTTATGGTGCTGACCGGATCCCTTTTTGACGGGGTGCTCCCTGGTTGAAAACCGGATGCCTGGCAACCCTAAATTACAGTAATAACCACTTGTTTGTATCTGACTTGTCCAAGGCCACAGAACAAATTGGCGATGAGCCAGGAACTGAATACAGATCTCCCAACTGTCAGTCCTGTACCTTAGCCTCTGCAGACTGCCTCTCATGAGGTACTACCTTCTAATAAGCAGCATTACAAACATAAGAATGGCCATACTGGGTCAGACCAATGGTCCATCTGGCCCAGTATCCAGTCTTCGGACAGTGGCTGGTGCCAGATGCTCAGGGGGAATGAACAGAACAGGGCAGTTATTGAATGAGCCATTCCCGGTCATCCAGTCTCAGCTTCTGGCAGTCTGAGGTTTAGAGACACCCAGAGCATGGGGCTGTTTCCCTGACTGTCTTGGTTAATAGCCATTGATGGACCTATCCTCCACGAACTTATCTAATTCTTTTTTGAACCCAGTTATACTTTTGGAATTCACAACATCCTTTGGCAACAAGTTCCACAAGTTGACTGTGTTGTGTGAAGTACTTCTGCCTATTAATTTCCATCAGGTGACCCCTGGTTCTTGTATTATGTGAAGGGAATACAGAAGTGTCGTTTATCACTTTCTCCACACCATTCATGATTTTAGAGACCCCTATCATAGCCTGCCTCAGTCATCTCTTTTCTAAGCTGACAAGCCACTTCTTTTAAATGTCTCCTCATAAAACAAGCCTTTTCAGGGCTTGATTTTAGCCCGCTTCATTTTTTCCTCCTACAAATAAAAAATTAACTCCTTTTAAAAACTGTTAATCAAAAATGCACGTGCTGCCACCTTAAGGGACCATTCTATATATTCCTGTGTCAAGTATATTATCCCAGGGCCCATTTTTTTAAACCACTTATCTGCGCTCTGATGATGATTTCAGAGAATTTCATGCACTACTTCCCCCAGCTCATTCCCGTTTAGTAATTTTATAGAGTAGTACTAGACTGAGTGCTCCTATATTCCTTTTTTTTATGATTGTCTATGTCAAGACTCATTACCTAACCCCCTTCCCCTTCAATTAGACAAGCTATTTCTTTGCTTCCTGCTCCTAACTTTAAGCCACTCGGAATTAGGTGGTAGGGATGGTCTCCAACTCCTTCCTTTTCAGAAAGCAGCAAGTTTGAGAAACACCTAACCCAGATTTTGCATTGACTTAAACATTGTACAATCCCGATTAACTCAGCTCTTTCATGTGAAGCAAAAATTGATCCTTGTTCTGACCTCGTGATCTCTCTCTCCAACCTCAACACTTTGTAGTCACAGGCAGCCTTTGTCTTCACGCCCAATATCAGTATCCAAACAAAGATGACACTTTCCACCCCCAATGTCTGAGCTAACCAGCTCTTTATCTGCTCAAGCAGTAATTCGCTCCCCTAGAGCATACCTGCTGACCTTGTAGGTTAATAATATGCTGCTACAGCAAAAGCTTTTCCATAGTTTGAGAGTAAATGAGGTCTC